ACTCCATCATGCCCTGGTAAGATGACATGCCTGCGGCAATTTGTGTTCTTTTCTTTAGCTCCGTCAAAGTTGTATTTCTGGTTCAGATAAGATATCAGAGCCACTATTTTACAATCATCAGCATGACAAAAGGAAGTTGATCTGAACAGGTAACACGCGTGTGTATAAAAGACTGAGAGAAGAAGAAGAAGAAGAAGAAGAGAAAGTAAAAAATGGCGACTTAGAAAATGGTCGTGCTGTAAGACATGTTTCCCAACTCTCATTCTGCAAAAAACATCCTGTGTTGTACATTAAGTCTTAAAGATTTGTTGCATATGTTGCTTATTCTTAGTGAATAGTGTTTAATTATTAATTAAGTATGCACTGAACAAACAGATCCAGAGAGAGGGAGTAATTACAAGGAAATGACACAAGCTGTTTGTGCTGCCTGAGTTGAGCTGAATGCAGCACATGGTGCCACTGAGCAGAGGATCATTGTAACTCATGAGGTCAACAGGCAGACGTGTCTTATCTTATCTGCATCTTTTTGTTAGGGGGTTTGTCCCTGAAATATCCAGTTTTCATCAGTTTTGAGCAGCTCTAAAGTAGAAAAAACATGTCATTTCACTGTGTCTGACAGTTTGACAGATATATTGTGTATTAGTTTGTTCCATGATGTTTAAACCACGTGAAATACTTAAAACCAAAACTGCTTTTTAGACACATTTCCCCCCATCTTCAGTCTGACATATTATTTTGTATCTTTGGAAACTTTGGCTACTTCACTAGAATTCAAGATTATCATCAGTGAGTTTTAACTTCTTCATTTTATTTTTTATTTATTGGTTTATTTAACACTGACAGTGCATAATAAATGTTGCGGTAAATGCACCAGAGGCAGCCAAGAGGCTTCATTTCATCTGTAGTCCCTGGACAAATGTTAAAAGAAAAGAGCATTTACGTTCAGATTTTTTAGTGGATATACATGCAGATTCTTTTACACATATACAAATCTTCGCATTTACGGATTTCTGGACACATTTACATATTCTTGCACACTTGAAAATTCGAACAGGCTGAGATAGTTTCACAACACATTTGTAAATAATATTACTACAATAATACCTAACGTATACCTATATAGTCGTTCATTTGTTCAATAGAGATAACTATGTATGCATATACTGACAAACATAATAATAATAATAATAATAATAATAATAAATGTAGCTTTTTGTGTATAAAATGTTATGTTATAAAATTGCTTTAAGGGTTAAAGAAAAACTCAACAATAAAAGCAAGGCAAATGCAAATAAAAACAAACAATGAGACCATCAAAGTCCAGCAGTTAACTGTATAAATACCTCCTCCTCCCTCTGTGTGTCCTCAGGTGATCTGGTGCTTCCTGTACGCCCTCTACACTCAGCTGTATGTGGCCGGCGCTGTAATCGCTCTGTTTGTGGAGGTGAACAGTGTCACTCTGCACCTGAGGCTGATGCTGAAACTGGCCGGCGCTCAGTCCTCCTCCATGTACCACGTCAACAAAGTCGCCAACCTCTTCACTTACATCATGTTTCGTCTGAGCACCCAGTTCTACCTCACCTGGTACATCATGCACAATTACTCCTGGCTGGACCACGGTGGATACTTTCTCGGCACCATGATCATGATGAATGTTATGATCCTGATTTACTTCTACCGCCTACTCCGCGCTGACTTCTTCCCCCGGAGTAAAAGCTATGTGGGACAGAATGGGACACATAACAACAACAAAAAGTTTCTCAGTGATTGACGTGGAGAAAGGTTACGGGACTATATTATATTGTTTTCAGGGTGAGAGTTTACACATTTGTCTTTTTCAAACCATAACTGACACCATTCCTTGTGACCACAGGTTCCCTTGTTGTGCCTCACTGCCAAAGAACAAACAACACCCCCTTCTGGACAAGGTGAAGCTTCGTTTGGGTCAAAAGAATAATTGTCTTTTCACAGGGAAAAATAAAAAGCAACACCACTTTGATAGAAGCCAAAACTATGTGTTAATCTCTAGTGACATTTATCAAACCATTTTACGACTTTTAGAATATTTAAGATTGTTCTTAGTATTATATAACCTGAAAGGAAAAGGTTGACATTTTTTTAAATACAATTGTCAATTCTTGACAAAAGCATTACATGAGAAGACTGATACCATCCTCCTGTTTATATGGTAAATATGAAGCCATAGCCAGCAGCTGTTTATATTATCTTAGCACAATAACTGGAAACAGGAAGAAACCTACAGTTCGTCTGGATCTGTCCTACGGTAACAAAAATCCTCCCGCAAAACCACAACTTGTTTTTACACTTCGGCTTTTGTACAGATTAAACAAACAAGATATTATAAGTTAATTAGTGACCTTTAGAGCTTATGCTGTGTTAATGACTCACAAAAAAGTAGAAAGTTAGCTACATAACACTGTGTGACACTTTTAATCAAAACAACCTGAGGCCTGATGAGAAACATTAACCTTGACTATTTTTTTTCATGAAACATTTTTGAATGTGATGTTTGAATGTCTGATGTGAAAGCAGCATTACCTCTTTCAACTTGAATTTTTACAAGTGGGAAACTGATCATTTCTGTACCTCAGATACATCACAAACGCAGCATTAGAAAACATAAGAGAGTGGTATCAATCTTCTCATTTAACTCTCAGCAAGAAAGCAAAGTGTATTTCTAAAAAATGTCAAAATGTTCCTTAATCCATCAGAAAAAAAACCTGCATGATAAATAGTTGAACACATAAGTTTAAAATGTGAAATTTTAGTATTTGCTAACAATCTTAACTGACAACCTAGCTATATGTTGCCATATATCTTCAACATTTGCATAGGGTTTGCAGTTTTCTCTCTTTGGGTATTTGAACGAAGAGACAAGTGGGATTTTCTGACATTAAATTTACCAGCAGCACACTCACATTTGAAAAATATGTGTATACAGTATGTCCTCTCCCTTTGTCTCAATGAAGCCATTTGTGGCTGAGGAGCTACTGGGCTTTGACTTACCTGGTACATAATGATGCAAAGGACCAACTGAACGTGTAACACAGGACAATTTATAGTCCTTTTATGGTTGTCATATGAAATTTGTTGGTATTTGACACGAGCTGGAACTTCCTGCCAGTTAATAGTCTGATAATTTTGCTCAGTGGGAAGAGGGAACCATGAGAAACCCTTCACGAACAGGCAGCAGCACAATCACCACTGTTACTGCATCCATGTAGTTAGACTTGTGTGGAGTAATAGAATATCCTCACAGTGTGTATCATATTTGCTTGTTTGAGAAGTAATAGGTCTTTTACAGAGTGGATCCCTTTTTTAAGAATGATGATATTCAGGTGAAGATGTGTCTCCTCTTCCTCTTCTTTTCCTCAAAAATGGATATATAGCATTTTGTAAATATGTCCTCAAGTGTGCATTCCTTTTTGATATATTTCAAAGGATAATATACGCACACACCGTCAAGCATTAGTGGACTTTAAAAACCTAATGATCAGCACATTTCATTTTCTATTTCAGCCAACGCCAAAAAGAACAGACATGGATATGGTGTAGATGTGTTTGACCTGTGCTACAGTGCCTTTACTACAGTGCCTTTTCAAAAATAAGAGCAAAGCAGAGATAAAGATGATGTACGAATAAGAAAGTATAGATTCTATAGAATGATATATGTATGTGGGAGATTTTTGAGACAAACTAACACTAAATTCATTTGATCATGACCACAATAATGTATAATGTATCTTGTATTAAAGTGAAAACTGTTTTTTAGGAGCCACGTATTTTGGATTGTTGAGTGATACTATGAATTAAAAAAGAATTTAAAATCACAGCTATTTATGTGTATTTTTCTAAGATGAACTCTACCGATAAGGGAAGGTTTGATTTGATTTATTCTCTGTTTTACATTCATGGAGTCTGTGAGATTTCTGGTAAAGCTATAGTCAGGTACTGTTTTATCAGATCATTTACATACATACATTTTAATTATAGTCAAATTTACATTAAAAATTAATTAATTCTCAATATCATTAGCTGCAAACATTTCCAACCACACATGTAATGTTTAGATTAAATTAAAAACATTAACATTAGCTAGTAATTTGGTGATCAACAATCTAATATTGAGATGACATTGTATATGGTCATCAAAATTCAAATGGAAGGTAACATAAGTTTCCTATTAAAATGAGGCTTTTCAATAACATTAGCTGCTAAGTTCAGCCATTAAATTTCCTATTAAAATGAATCCTTTTCAATAGGTTTGGCCTCCAACAATCTAATGTCAAGGGATAACAAATAAGTTAATGTAACATTAGCTGCTAATTGGGCCATTGCAAATTCAATATTGTTTGGAATGAAACTGTGACAATTGCCTTACCTTCAAGCGTTGCCTTCTCAGAAGTAGGAAACATGGTAAAAAGAAAACAATGACAAGATATTGACTCTATTGGCCATTAATTATAATATATGGACAAAATGTAATATTTTCTATAACATGGCAACACATTAGCACACATTAGCTGCTAACTTTGGTCTTCTTTGATAACATGTCAGTAACATTAGCTACTTTTTCATGTAATACAAGCTAGCATGAAGCTAAGCAATACAGTGCCACTAACATTAATCAGACATTATTATCAGCAATGCAGTAGATTAGAAAATGTATAATATAGTAGGCTATAGTACAATAAATAATATATATAGTTATTAGGAGAAATAATTAATAAATAAATATAGTTATTTATGAAAAAGTAAGAAGAAAAATAAAACAAAATGTCCTCAATATGATAAATGTCCAATTAGTTTTACATTTAGATGATAGATAGATAGATAGATAGATAGATAGATAGATAGATAGATAGATCATTTTTCCTTCCTCTTTTCCGATTATTCCTCATTTCCTCCAGCAGGGGACCGAGCAGAGAAAATCTGGGAGGAAAGGAAAAAAAAAATCCAGGGAACTGAGTCAGCAGCAGCAGCAGCGGGTCTCAGTCTGCTGCTCCCCCTCAACTTCCGTGGATCCATTTCAGCTCCGTTCTCCACAAACTCAACACTTACACACTTCACAGTGAAGTCGGATGGGTTTCCTTCACGATAAGAAGCATCTGTGGGGGGAAAACGAGGCGTAAAAAAGGACAGAGAGAAGAGGAAAATTGAGTGGACCATCCCGTCTCGCTGAGGTAACATCTCCACAGATTTCTTCAAAGTTTAGTCGGCACGTACATGTGACCACAAGTCACAGCGCTTCTTTAGCGAGGTGAAAAACTACTTTACCTGCAGTTTGAATGTTTATAAATCGAGTTTTAAAGTCGCCTGGTTTCAGTTTTATTGCGACTCAAACCAAATGCACTAAATTACACGTCTTCTCCTTTACCAGGATGAACAATAGGATTAAAACAGATCTGCGCAGTAAGTGGATCAACAGTTGTCTGGTCTGGCTCTGTGTGTGGTCATGTAGCCCCAAACTGTAAACCAAACATTTTCTCTCATTACAGTATTGTTTGACCTGGGTCTTTGCCTCACTCTGCCCCAGACTGTAAAACAGACAGGGGGCAGATGTGCGAGCATTTTCGAGTACAGTCAATTATATTCCGCCGGGGCAAAGACATTGTCGTTGGACCCCTTTAACCCCCACTGTGTAGGTCTAGGGCAATTTGATTATTTCCTCAGGCATCCAGAAACGGACCATACAGGTGAAATGATTAGTTGATTAATCAGTCAGTCAATTGGCACCAATTATCATCATTTTTAAAAGCAAAACCACCAAAAGCTTCTCAGGGGTGAATACTTTCTAGTTTCTCAGTCCTCTATTACTTGTTATGTTATAACCCAGGTGTCATTTGAAAGGTAACGCTTTAAATTTTACAACCAAAAAGTCAAAATGAGAATAAGAGACACTGAACCAGAGTTGCAGAGGCACCTCACCCATTTTTATTTTTATTTTTTGCATTGAAAAGGGAATCTAAGGCCTGCACTAGTACCCTTTATGTGGAAAACACTTTGGAGCTTTGCATAGAAAGAAAGAGGAGAGCTTTCAAACAATGTAAAATATGTTATGGTTGTGTGAAAACAGAGTGTGACTAAAACACATTTCAAGTGATACCAAAGGGCAAAGTGGGCGGGATGGTGTATTTAAAAGGTTAACTTGCACTTCTGGGAATAATAACAGACACTACTTTCTGACATTATATACACTGAACAACAATAGTAGTCAATAGCCTAGATCTGAGAAAATAATTCTCAGATGTGTTGATAATGACAATATTGTGGGTTGCAGCCTTACGATACTCCTATGATGGAATAATACGAGCTCAATATAAAGTTAAATAATTACTGTTTTAAAACTAGAATTTGAAACAGGGTCTCACTACAAGAGCAAGGCCGGAGGATGGATGACCAGTCAGGGCTGATGCTGTACTTCAGTGGGGCTCCTGTGTAGTTGCCTGCTCTGCCTGGAGGGTAATGCAGCCTTGGATCTGGTTGCCCGGGAAAACAAATCAAATCTGAAGTGAGAGACAAAGATGAACATGAGCTAATTTAATCCAAATCAAAACGAAACTTGTGCCAAATGCAATATGCTGCATCTGAAATGTGATGTGTGGGTGTTTACTTATAAATAACGCAAAAAAAAAACATTTCAAAATGTAGTTAATGCAAATATAGATATATACATGTAGGGCGGAAGTCTGTAAAAGTGTCATGATATGATTAAAAAAATGCTTGAAGCCCAAGGTAGGGTTTCCAAATGCTTTTGAAAATTAGAAAGAATTGAACTAGGGAATGTTTGGTATTTTAAGTTTGTCAGATTTATATACATGCCTCAAAATGTCCAGAAGATATTTGAATTGAGTAGAACCACAACTAAAGATTTTCTTCAACCAACAGTTCAAAACCCAAAGATCAGTTTACAGGGATATAAAATGATATAAAACAGAGAAAAGCAGCAAACCCTAATATTTAAGAAGCTGGATCCAGAGAATATTTGGCTGTTTTGATTTTTGTTTATTTCTGTCTCTTTGTGTTGGACGCAGATTTGCTTCAGTCTTCATCTTGTAGCTTTTATCCCCAGTAGCAAGAGGAGAAATAAGCACCAGGCCTGATGATTGGGCCCAAAAACCACTCACCACATTCTCACATCTTTAACGAGTTAAAATGGCAGATTGTTAATGCTGCTCTCCTTCTCTTTCTGTCCAGCACACCACAACCCTGTGCTAAATATTCACCCGGACGCTTCATGTCAGTCCGAGTGTCAGCCATGAGCGTCCTTCCTCCTGTGCGAAGGGACCGAATCATCGCTCAGCTCCCTCAGGTAAAATCATTCACTGCTCAAGCACCGCATCTGTAAAACAGTCTACAGCCTCACACAGTCTTCTTCCTCTCCTGCAGTATTTCAAGAAGGAAGCAGCTCTCCACACTAAAGACGATTTCAACAATAAAGTGAGGACTGCCTGCCAGGAGCAGCGCACCGGCACTGTGGGGTGAGCACTGACACCACAGGCTGGATGATACGGGACGCGGTGTTTTCTGGCACTTCTTTACTTATTGTTTCTTATCATTTACTTTTATTCTTCTCAGCAGATTTAAAATCTCTAAGGTCATTGTGGTGGGTGACCTGGCTGTGGGGAAAACCTGTCTGATTAATAGGTAAGGTCAAACGCAGTCACTTAATCGGTGAAAGCAGGGTGAGGTGCAGTACTAGGAAATAAATAACTTAAATAAGAGATTTACATCCATCAAGAAAGCAAAGTCTCGATACAGCTCCACCTACCATGCTAATATTAATAGCAGTAGATTGCTGTGTTTCAGAGATTGAAACAGGGTTTATGTAACAAACCTGGTAGATGAATCTGCATGCTGATATTTCAGCAAGAGGACAGCCTGTAGTTTTTTGTTATCTGGTCTCAATATGAGCCTAATTGGTTATTGTACACTTCTGGAATTCAGAAACACAAGTAGGCTAATTAATTTTTCATCCCTTCAAGCAGTGATTAACAGTGATTGGTTGCACCCATAAACATCAGCTCAAGTTCAGTAAATTTGAACTTTTGGTGCATTTGGACTCTGCTTGGACAGACGTGCAGCCAACCAAGAAATCTCAACTAAACAGCAACAGCAAATACGTTTTTTTTAGGAACCATAATCTCTGGTTGGATTATGTTCAGAGGCAACTTTTTTTTTTTTTTTTTTGGAATGAATGAAGCGCTGTGTTTATTAATGGCAGCAGTGACAGACCAGGGTTTGCACCCACACTCTCATGGCTGTTGCTGTAAACTTTTTCTGTATTAAAGCAGATCATGATCTTTTTCTAACCTTAACCAAGCGCTATGAGAACCTAGACATAATCATAAAAACAGTTCAGTAATGCGTTTGTCCCTAAAAGTGGACGATGGACCAAAAGATTAATCCTAATCCTATTTTGCAGATTTTGCAAAGATGCTTTTGATAAGAACTACAAGGCAACGATTGGTGTTGACTTTGAGATGGAGCGGTTTGAGGTGTTGGGTGTCCCTTTCAGTCTACAGCTGTAAGTCTAACGTGTGCACTATTACACATAAAACAAAGTCAGTAAACTGTGTCTGACGTACTGTTACTCACCAGTCACTCTTTCCATTACAGGTGGGACACTGCGGGCCAAGAGAGGTTCAAGTGCATTGCTTCTACGTACTACAGAGGAGCCCAGGGTGAGAGATTTTGTGTTAAAGAGCAGTTAACAAATAAGATATGTATTGAAGACTCTCCTCTCTCCATGTAAACATTGTTTAACCAAGAACAAAAAGTCAAGGGAGGACACTAACCCATGTTGAAACAATACTCTTAAAACTTAAAGCATTTTCATTGTAATACTTTCTGTTCCTCCAGTTGTGATCATCGCGTTTGATGTAAATGATGTTGCCTCTTTGGGCCATGTGAGGTAAGTGTATTTATTATGAGCAGATTGTTTGCACTCTTACAGTTTTTTTTTGTCCCAGCTGGAGGATTTAAACTTGTGTTTTTCTGTCCGCAGGCAGTGGCTCGAAGACGCCTTGAAAGAGAACGACCCCACCGCTGTCCAGCTGTTCCTCGTCGGCACAAAGAAAGACCTGAGTGTACTTCTTTTACTGTTTTAAAATGGACGATGCCTGTGAACATGTCTGTGTCTTTACTGGAGTCAAATGTGAATAGTTTGGATTGTTGCCAGCAGCACAGAGCGTTTGTGTCCAGGCTCAAACCTCAGGAATGCGGTTTCTCATCCTTCAGCAGACCCCAAAGCATCTGAGACATTACTAACTGAATTTAGGCAGTGGTGGGAAGGAAGAACTGTAACTGGTCGTTTTTCGGCTACTTTTCTATTTCAAGATGTTTTTAATTTGAATTTGAATTGTCCAAAACGTTTTTCTTTTCATAGTGATTTTTTTTTTTTTTTTGAAACAGAGATTTCAACTTTTCAGAATATTCCTGTTCAGATTTTTGTCCTGTGGTTTTTGTATTTACCACAAAACAACAATTACACAACAACACGGCTACAAACCGGCCATACACAAGTTCACCTGGACTCAAGGACCAAGGATCAACTGGTTATATTTTGGTTAAAAGTCAGAGGCCGAGGTCACTGTGACCACACAAAATACGATCTTGGCCTTGTGAACACACTATCTCTGGAACTCCACAAGGGAATCCCCTCAAATTTGGCACAAACGTTCACTTGGACTCAAAGATGAACCGATTCAGATATAGTTACAGATACAGTTTGGTGGTCAAAGGTCAAGGTCACCGTGACCGCACAAAAACATGGAGGCATATAACTGCAAAACAGGAATTCTAGTTTTCTTATTCTGCCATTTTTCAGACCGAGCGATTTATCAATTAAGCAAGAAAACAATAGTTAGATTGATGGATAATGAAAATAATGGTTAGCAGCAGCGTTAGTACAAATATTCCTTTTGTTTACCTTGGTTACACCATATCTAACTTGGTTGCCTCTGGTTTCTCTTGACAGTCTCCTGCTCAGTATTCTCAGATCGAACAAGATGCTCTCAAACTAGCACAGGAGATCAGAGCAGAGTACTGGGCTGTTTCATCACTCACAGGTAAGTGTTTGGATTTAAATATAGTAAATTGATCTCTTCCACTGACCTCACCATTGACTTATGAAGTGTTCGAAAATGATTAGTTGGGGGAGTTGGGGCCTGGAAAGGGTGAGGATTGTGTTTGTTTTTTTCGTTTAGTTTTTTTTCTTTCTGCTGAAGGCAGGGTAATTTAATATTGTTGTTGGAAATAACAGTGAAGGGTCTTAAATTTCTTTCATATGCTCATTATTATTATTATTATTATTATATGCTCATTATTATTTCCCAAAAGAAATTCTCTGTAAATTAGGCACAGCGTTTGTTGGGCTGTATGAAAACTATTATTCCATTAACATCTTAATCTTTGAATCAGGAAATTGCTTCAGTATTGACAACCTTTTTTAAAGCCTCCTCCCCCCAGTAATTTTCATACGGTCCCTTCCTGATCTTTATCTCTTTCATGCCTTAGGGGAAAACGTGAAAGAGTTTTTCTTCCGAGTTGCATCATTGGCGTTTGAGACCAACGTTCTTGCAGAGTTGGAGAAAAGTGGATCGAGGCAAATTGGAGACGTCGTCAGTGAGTATCCCCACAATCTCTCTGTGACCGTGAAAACCATGACATTTGTCACACAGTTTAACGCCCAGCTATGTATCTATTTCAGGAATTAACAGCACTTCAAACAAACTTTACGCTACATCGAAGAAGAAACACCCGAACTGCTGCCAGTAAGGATGCAAGCGGGAGTTTAAAGTAAAAAGGTACAGACTGAAAATGAGGATTTTTCTCAGTGGAAAAAGACTGTGGTTTCTCTCCAGCTCATGGGAGGGATTTCTGTGGTCAGAGCAGGAGGAGGGACGCAGGAGTTTCACTTCCTGATATGTTTGAATTCAGTTTTTCCTGGCCTGTGATGAGTTTTGCTCTGTGGGATGTGGATTCTTGCGGTGTCGCTCGGTTTAACTTGTCCGGAGTTACAGAGTGGCACAAAAATGACAGGTTCTGCTGAGATGCCAAAGAATGACTGTGGATGGTTACTTTACTTAGAGCTTGAATTAAATCTTCAGTTTTAATGCTGTAGTTTGTTTTACAATCAAGATTCATCATCACAATAATACTCATTTCCTAAATGACTGTTTTTACGCGGTACTAAACCTCTTTTCCTAATATTGTAGATTAGAGGTTACCGACCTCTCTGTAAGAAGTAAGATATTGCAGTAAATCACAAGACAACAAAGATTTGAGGAAAGTCGGAAGCAATAAACTTTTAAACTTCTTTTGTTTAACAGTCCTGCTAATCATCTCCCGACCCTTCAGATTTATGGTCGACTCCTCGTGGAGGGCCCAACTCGCTGGTTGAGAACCATTGTTGTAACGTAGATGCAGCCTTGGACATTTTTATCTGCGGCGTATTCTTTCCTAGGTACTTTTTGCCTTTTTGTTTACAATCAAATCAGTGACTGAATTTGAATTATCATTTTTATATCAGAAACTGAAATTTTGTGTGTTTGATCATTTATTGTCTTTTAAAAAATTCTCATGGTATGTGTAACGTCATAAAGGTATTAAAACAGGATCATATCATTAATGTGTTTCGGAAATATCATACATGTATTTTGAAGACGTAATTTAGTTAAAATCACAGCTTATGTTATTTTAAAAAAAAAAGTCATATTACACAAGGTTTTCACTATTTCTTAAACAAATATAAAATGTCTATGCAAATGAAACAATTTCTTGACCGTGTCATTCTTTCCCTTTTCTTCTTTACTGAACTTATTTTACTTTACTTGCTCAGCTGCTGAAGCTTTTGAATGAATCCATATATTTCCGATCAATTTGGCTCTGCAGCTCTTCGGGGATGCAGTGAGAAAATTTGTAATTTTCTTTAATCCACTTTCCCCCTTCAGTGTTTTCGATGGCCACAGCTGCCACACCTGCAGGAAACAGAGTGAGATATTTATATTCAAGTGCTGAGGTTCAAAAATGAATGAATGAGAATGGCAGAATAATAACATTAACATGTTGACTGACCTACAACAGTGGCTCCCAGCCTCTCGACAAGCTGGATGGCAGCCTTCATTGTTCCTCCAGTCTCTATCCATTGGTCCACCAACAACACCCTCACACCTGCAAGACAGAGAGTGTCAACTATACTTACACCTATTGGGTCTTTTTAAAAAAATTTTTTTTTATTGAAACACTTTTTATTGTCGTGTACTTGTGGTAAACAACTAAATATTTAAACTGATTCAGCTGTAATTTGCTCCAACCAACACTAGGGGGTGCTGTGTGACAGGGATGGAATATAAATGGAAATAAATCTAATTAATTAAGCTTAAATCAAATTGAGAAAAATAGCAGATTAATTGATGAATGAGTGAAAGCCCTAGTTAATTAATTGGGGTTTTAATACAGGAGAAATGAATATGTTATAACCTAGTCAAAGTCGTTTTCAAATCTTCAATTTAAATATTTAAAGTCTACTAGTTATTTAAATTTTTTACATGGAAATACAGCTGTGCATGGCAGCTTTTTCATTCTCACCACATCTAAAACAACCCTTTCATTGCAGAGTTTTAGGGCCAGATTATGATATGAGTAATCACTACATGGAAATAATCAAATTAAATGACTGAATATTTACAAAAACTACAAATAACATCAGACTAAACTTACTGGTATCTTTGTGAGCCCACACAACAGCTGAAGTCAAAATCAAATTTGGTCTTATTTATCTTTGAAGTTGTTTTTTTTTTTTAGCCCGGCGCTCGACCCAGACATGTGCAAACATTACCAGCTGGGTAAACATTCATCCGCTCAAGGGAAATATGTGACATGGTTGCAGAGTAAAAAAAAAAAAGCAAAGGAAGATTAACCTGGTTTTAGCACATCCAGTCTTACTTCCATTGTCTTTTCTCTGCCTGTGTAATCTGTGTAGCTTTGGTTTTGGGTTGCAACACACAGGTGTCCTGCTTTACGGATAGCCAGGAAACCTTTTCCAAGAGTGGTGGCAACAGACGCCCCTGAAAACACATCAAAAATATATATGCACAATGTATGTATTATAAGTACTCTAGGAAGTATGCTTTCACACATTGTCATGCCGTGTACCAGGAGGCAAGGTGCAGTGTCCAAAAAGCTAAATTTAGTATCTTTGCCAGAGGAGTTAGGTTTCCTGAGCCGCCTCTTAAAATAAAATTAGTGTGAGACACCAAGTGTGACTCCTCTTAACCTGCAATTTCTTTTGCTTCTTAAAAGGAATTGGTTTGTTTTCTTACCAAGAATGAATCCCATTGCATCTATCCCGGCAACCAGGTCAATGGTGTCGCTGTGGAATGGACTGACAAGGTCTTTGACACAGTCTGTAAGAGCCTGAATCAAGTGCAAAGAGAGCAAAATGAAAGTGTGCATATGATAAACACATACTACATGTTATAAATTAGCTTTATACTGCGTTTAGCGAGAGGGAAGACAGCAGAAACAACACCCACAGCTCAACAGTCTGCTGAGGAATTAGAAAGCATAATTTTTCCCATCGTACCTGGTAGTTGCAGTAGAGCCTGGACGGATCCAGCCAGGCAAATGTTGGTCCTTTTGTATTGGGGGCCATCAGAGAAAGGTACCATCCTTTATGCCTGTCTGCAGGAACGGCCAATGCGTCCATTCTAAGGAACAAAACTTTTCTGAGCCGTTCGAGGGAGAAACTGAGGTGAATGAACTGGACCGTGAGTGAGAGAGTTCCCCATATCAGGTTCCAGCGGGGTGAATGGTGGGTGGGAAGGGGCTGTTAATGACACTGAACTTAGTTACAGATTCTCCCTGCAGTCAGGGCAGGATTTATCATTCAAAATGAAGTCATGAGTTGATGACCAGTGTCAGCCCTGTCAACGAAGGTCTCTGTGAAGTGTGCAGATGTTTATTCATGACTATTTTTGGATCTTGCACCTTCTTGTTTTATGGGAGTGTGTATACTTTGGAGAAATTACTATTAGTTTTATTAATAGATTTATTATTAATTTGTTTGCAGAGTAAAAAAATGCAATTCTTAAAGAATATATGACAAAGAGACCCATATATTATATGTACAAACACACTTCTACCAAGATATATGAATTCAAAGGAGCGAGCTTGTGCAGGAGCAGCAGGAAGCTAAAATCTTACTTCTCCTCAAAACCCAAGACAAAATAAACTGAATTATGTGAAACAAAACAATGAGGAATCATCTGCAGCAAATCCTACACTTTGCATCACTGTTAACTATTGTCCAAGGCAAAGTGTTTTAATTCATTATACAGACTTCAAACTTGCAGGAGTTACAGTATTTAATTGTCAAACTGACATTATTGGTATATGTTAGTGCAGGTCAAAGTGAATAATGAATAAAAAACTGTGCAAAGCGTTAGCACACAACATTATGATAACTTTGACAAAGGTAAAAGCAGGCTTAACATTACTGGACAGAATGATCTCACACTCAATGTTGCATTTTATATTGAATGAAATGAAACCAGTGACTGTAGAGAAAATACTTGGACATGCATATAAAAATGGTAATTGGGAAGCATTTGCAGTAAATAGGCAAAAGCAGTAGATTTGTTCTTTAAGAGCAATGTTGCATTTTAACACTGAACATCAGGCAACACGCAAAGACATTTCGTGATGTTAACTAACAATACAGTTTTTTGCGAATGCTTACACACGCAAAATTTGGCTCATTGTGTCAAAACTCAACACACAAGCCAAATAAGACAAAACACTTGGAGCTGGACATCTAACTTCTATGTCAAACTGAAACACTGCAAACAAAACCTGACGAAGGGCACTTCTTTGACAAAACCATACACACATGCACCATCTGAATGGCTCGCTCAAAGCAGCAACAACAGTGATGAACTTAACACAAAACACTGCTGACCTCTCAACGTTGTATATGTTGTTCATTTTGTCATACAGGCCTCACGCAACACAAAAATAGAAAATATTCAGAAAACAGCTCATTGTGTCGACTCAGGTTTAAGAGAACAGTTGAATTTACAGGATGTGCAGCTGCATCAAAGTCCAGGAATCAAACTTGTGTCATCCCGCAGTTTAGAGCTAATGTCAGGCTAACAGTATAGCCTCATATTGTAACTTCCTAAAGCACTAACACGTGAGATTTTTTTTTAATTTCTCTGTAATTGTTAAAAAACAAGAATCACAATTCCTTGAACATTAAAAAATACTTTGGACTGCTAAAAACAGTTTTGTGAACTTAAAATGGCTCATGACTTCCTCTATGGGCCTCTCTCCATCACAAATTGATAAAACTGATGTCTCTTCAAAAGTGTATGATCACATGACAAATTATGTCTGTGGTTTCCTAGAAACAAGGAGTGGCTCAACTTCCCCACAGGCTCAAAAACAAGATCTGAGCAAAGTTTCTGTGAACACAGTGAAAGTAAAGAAGAAGAACAATCCAACAGCTTTCTATACTCCAATGTGCATAAGAGCTCTGAACACAGTTGGAGCTGAAACTGCTTCCATGATAAATGTCATTGATGGTTCTGTTTCCATTTGTTTAATGCACCAACGGTTAATTATGTACCATATATGTAAACGCATACAGAGGGGGCTGTGGCTCAGGTGGTAGAGCAGGTTGGCTGTTGATCCATGGGTTCAACCTCCAGCTCCTTGAACCCATGGTTGCCTCAGGACGGGCATCCGGCATAAAACCCTCCACCAAATCAACGATGGTGGACGGTGTTCCACTGCGGCGATCCCCAACGGGAGCAGCCGCAAGATAACAACTTGTAACTAAATACATATTTCACATATTACATACTTTACTTATGATATAACAGACAGTCATGATTCAATTTACTTATCACCATGTAACACAAGAGTAATGCACTGGTCAGCTTGGTCCATAAGGAGATGTACGTCTTTAACAATGTGAGCCTGGGATGTGTAAGTATACAGTAACATGAGATACTGATTGGGGGTCAGACCAGGAAACACTGTGTCATCTCCACTTTGCCTTAAACTTTCAAGAGAAAAAAATCTGTTTTTCTGGCTTGAACTTATTGAACAAACAGTGCTTTTACTATAGCCTCATTAGTAAGTTGTAAAGTACCATGAAGAGCTTTTGTTAGAACCTTGATGGTCTAGAACTCTCAATGATAATGTTCTGTGACATCATGACTGTAGAACTGACATCAGAATGTTCAATGGAACCTGCACCTGCAGAGACTCTTCATTTCCACCCTGCACACTGAACTGAGCACCGTCTCTTGCTTCAACACAAACCCTTTGTAAACCATTTGTAAAACATATCTACTGTATATCTTTGTCTCCTTGTTATATCGTGAACTGTTTCATCAGAAACGCCTTCAGCTCTACAGCACAGTTTCAAGTCCAACTTCATCTGTGAAACACAAACTGCTCTTTGTCACTGTTAAGGCTCTTCTCAGAGCTGAGATGAACCGACAAAGACACCAGGTAAGATTTTTACATAGATTCAACTGTATAAGTAAGTGTAGAGGTTGTGTTAAGGTGGAACTGGAGTTTTAAACATGAACTACATGTATGTTTCTATTTTTCAGTCCTTTGGGATGCAGCAGTTTGGTGCTGCCCTGTACCTCCCCGCTCACTACAGGCCGGCTACAGCGCCGCTGTTCCCTGAGCAGCAAAATGCTGTGGTACAGGGCCTCAGAGATGCCCTCCTCTCTGCTATCAACGAGATCAAGTCTCTAAAGGAGGAGAACAAGTCTCTGAAGGACAAAATGGACCTTCAGCAAAGTGAATGGAGGCAGGTGGAGAACCAGCTCCAAGAGGAGATCCGTCAGAAAGACCAGCTCCTCAAAAGAACCATCAAGAAGAGGCAGGCTCGCACAAAGGCCCACGTTGACGTCCTGGCCCTGCTCGCTCAGAGGGAGGCTGAGCTGGAGAGCAGAGAGGTGGGGTGGAAGGCCAGGTGTGGAGCACTGGAGGTGAGCCTGCAGGAGCTGGTTCAGAGAGAGGAGGACTGGAGCAGGAGAGTCGAGGAGAAACTGGCTCAGAAGGAGCTGGAGGAGACAAACATTAAAAACGAGGAGGAGGACAAGAGTCAGGAGGAACAGGAGGAGACAAAGATTAAAAATGAGGAGGAGAACAAGACTCAGAAGGACAAAATGAACATGCAGCAAAGTGAATGGAGGCAGGTGGAGAGCCAGCTCCGAGAGGAGGTCCGTCAGAAAGACCGGCTGCTCAAAAGAACCATCAAGAAGAGGCAGGCTCGCACAAAGGCCCACATTGACGTCCTGGCCCTGCTCGCTCAGAGGGAGGCTGAGCTGGAGAGCAGAGAGGAGGGGTGGAAGGCCAGGTGTGGAGCACTGGAGGTGAGCCTGCAGGAGCTGGTTCAGAGAGAGGAGGACTGGAGCAGGAGAGTGGAGGAGGCAGAGCTGGAGGAGAAACTGGCTCAGAAGGAGCTGGAGGAGACAAACATTAAACACAAGTAGGAGGAAGAACAGGGGTTCGCTACAGCACAACATCCCTCTTCCTGATACCCCCAACCCATTTCCTTCCCCCCCTCCTTTCCTTCCCCCCCCCCCCATTCCCTTTTCCCACCCCTCACCCCTTGTGCATGTATTATTTTTTGTAAATTTGTAAATACAGTTTTGTGTGAGTTCATTTCATCTGCCTGTGTTCTTCTTTCTGAATACAGATACAGGATTCATGGCTCTAGTACTACTAGTACCAGTAATCGAGTACTTCAGTATTACAGTATTTGTTTAGGAGGGACAGATCAGATTACATTTTTAAGATGTTGATGATGGTGATAATGCTGTGTAATGATAATTCTGATGTTGATTGACAATAGGAGTCAACATGTCTTTGTGAATCTTTCTCTCAAGTCTGTTGGAGATTCATTTTGATTATTAGTCTTAATCCACTGAAAGAGCACTGGGTTGGCACAGTTTACCCACAACAAGAGAGGGTCAAAAATAAAATATGATTTGGATGATCTGATTAAAGAAACCAAGCCAATTTCCCAAAAGCAATATATGACATAATACAGTAAACAGTTAAACTGCATAACTTTCACTATTGCTGCTACAATAAATCAAATCTGATAAATATTGTGATTTAATCAGAGGTTTGCTATTAATTGTCCTCAAATTACAACCTTTTTTCAAGCCTACATGGGATAGGTTTTGGATACTCAAAAGGCAGATGGAATACCTTTTCAATTACATTGCCTTTTTTAACAGTTACTACAGTTACCAAAAAGAAATCTGTTACTTGTCACCATCTTGACTCAACATCTTTTTTTATCAGTTTGATACTTACTTTAATTTTATGAGAATTTCTCTTAATGAAAATTTCTCATATTAAATATAAATTAGTTTCTCTGAGGCCCCAGCTGTAAAATATGGCTAAATACATTTGACTTGTATGTCTGTGATTTCTGTTAACATGAAGTTTTTACACACTACAACCATCCCAAAAACTATATTTTGATTTCAGTCAAAAAACTAAACATACATCTTGAAGAATGAGTCACTTGTTTCTTTGGTTGCATCTGTGCAGACTGTGTACCAAAAACAAAGCCAACACTGTAGTCACCTGAAAATAATTGAATATCAACACTGGACTGAATGATGTGTGACTAAAGATCCTGTTTAAGGTACACATTTTCTCTCTCTCTGCATGTCTCAGGTTGTTATTCTAAATGCTGCTCAGAGCTGCTGTCTTCAGGCTTTTGCCTTCAGATGTTTACGATCACCA